CAGCTGGGAACTGCTGGCTCCGGCAGGCGCGGAACGGCCGCTGCCAGGTCCCCTACAAGACCGACCTCAGCAAGGAGGAGTGCTGCAAGACCGGCCGCCTGACAACTTCGTGGACGGAAGAGGACGTCAACGACAACACGCTTTTTAAGTGGATGATTTTTAATGGGGGAGCCCCAAACTGCATCCCGTGCAAAGGTGAGGGGGGTGCTGGAGAGCTGCTCGCGGCAGAGGAGCGGTCCAGGCAGGGACTGGGCTGGGGGAGGAGGAGCGGGGAAGGAGCTGGAGGGGGTCAGCGCGGTCCTGCTGCTTCCGTCCTCGGTGCGACTTTGAGGGGCGTCTCGTACCAGCCCCGGGATCCCTGAGGAGACCCCGTTTCTGCTCGGCGGCCGTGCACATCGGGGGGGAGGAGGGGAGAGACCTCCTCTGCCTCCTGCCCTCGTTGGTGGGGGGAATTTCCTTCGAGTGGTGTTTCCTGGAGAGGGGGGGGAAGGTGCTTTCTCTCTGTGCTCTGGGGTCACAGTGTCTTTTTTTTCTTTAAGCAGTTTTGACACCAGGTCTGTTCTCCACGCTTGGTACTAAAGTGGTGCCTCTTTCCTTCCATCAGAAACGTGTGAGAATGTGGACTGTGGACCCGGGAAGAAATGTAAAATGAACAAGAAGAACAAACCTCGGTGTGTTTGTGCTCCGGATTGCTCTAATATCACTTGGAAGGGCCCTGTGTGTGGCTTAGATGGGAAAACCTACAGGAACGAGTGTGCCCTTCTCAAAGCCAGATGTAAAGAACAGCCCGAACTTGAAGTCCAGTATCAGGGCAAATGCAAAAGTAGGTTTGCAAATCTAATCCGATCTCCCTCAAATGCCAAAGGGTGTGTGTCTGAGTGCAGGGAGGAGGAGGTGTTGGATGTACTTCCCCACAGGAACCAGAGTGATGTTCCAAATGCTGGGAGCCAGTAACTACCCACTCTCAACAGACAAAGATGTAGCTGGATTGAGAGTTTCCCAGTCTAGCAGTACTTGTGTCCCACCAGCTACCCCGAGATGGGAAGGTTTCCTCCAGCAGCACTTAAATGAGCAGAGCTGCTGAAGGCTCTTATATGATCATTTGTTTCCTTGTGTCACCCACTCACTCCTTGCTGGGACTCTGGAATCGCCTATTAATCACTGTGTGTTTCCATCTTTATTTCAGAGACCTGCAGGGATGTTTTATGCCCAGGAAGCTCCACATGTGTGGTTGACCAAACTAATAATGCCTACTGCGTGACATGTAATCGAATTTGCCCAGAGCCTACCTCCCCTGAACAGTATCTCTGCGGGAATGACGGCATAACTTACGCCAGTGCTTGCCATCTGAGGAAAGCTACCTGCCTACTGGGCAGATCCATTGGACTAGCCTACGAAGGAAAATGCATCAGTAGGTATCTTGGTTGGAGGGTAAGGGTGGGGGGAGCTTCCTCGATCAGCTGTTTCAGAATATAGTGTGCAATTAAGATGGATGTAGTTAGCGCTGCGGAGGAGGAGAGATTTCCAGCAGCCTGGGTTTGTGCTGACCTCTGGGAAAAGGAAGGCCAGGGAGAGCTTTGCCCCTGAAAAGATTGCAAAAGGGATAAGGGAGTAGAGGGCCTGATCCTGCTTCTCTTGCTATTGCTGTGGGTGCTGACATTAGTATCCAAGGGAGAAGTACCGGCCATTAAATAGACGATGACATGGTTACAGCGTAACAAGGTCTCGATATTCAGTGGATCTGGATTCCTGGAAACAATTGTCTTCAAGTGGTCTTGGCAAAGCTTATGTTAACTTAATTGGAAACATGTGATCACTTTTTCCTCTTTAGAAATATTGCAGAGTTTGGAGACAGTTGGTGGGTGAAGATAGGAAAATAGTTTCTGTGCATCCTGACATTTTGTATTGTGATTTCCAGAATGGACTGATTGCAAAGCGAGTTATGAGGAAGCACCTTCAGGGCAGCTTCTGCTCCCCAAAACTGCTGGGGGAGTTCAGAGGAATCTTAGGCTGCTTTTAGTCAGCATAGGTTGAGGTGAATTCCCTTTCCATTCTCATAGACAACTACCCTGTGTGGGTTAGTTTAAAAATAATTGATTTAGAAATGCTGAATGTGTTGGCAAATTCTGCACTTACCACTAATTTGGGGAGCTGAATTTCCACTGACATCAAACGGAGCAGGAAGGTCATGTCCAATAGGCAAATGTAATTCTGTATTCCCAGGGCCAAGCTCTGCTGGCACAGCTGTCTTTTCTCCCCCACATATAGACAGGCAATGGTGTCCAAGGGACTACTTGCTTGAGCAAAATCAGCAAGTATCATCACATCTACTGCATCTGAGCTTTGTCTGTTCATAGTTCGCAGGGGGAAGGGAATTTGGGGTTGTTTGTTGTTGCTTTTCTTTTTTCTTTGTCTTTTCACTTACCTCCAGTATCCTGTGTATATTTTTAGAAGCCAAATCCTGTGAAGACATTCAGTGCAGTGCTGGGAAGAAATGCTTGTGGGATTTTAAGGTTGGCAGAGGTCAGTGCGCCCTCTGTGATGAGCCATGCCCTGAAAGCAAGTCAGATGAGGCAGTCTGTGCCAGCGATAACACAACTTACCCAAGCGAGTGTGCCATGAAAGAGGCAGCCTGCTCCATGGGTGTGCTTCTAGAAGTAAAGCACTCTGGATCTTGCAACTGTAAGTGAGATTTTTAACTCTGCAGACACTTAAAGCTTCTGAAGGCAATCCCTAGGTAATGAAGACTTACACCTTTAAACATAAGAAGGCTTGATTTAGAGATTTGAAATATGGTACAGGTGCCATATAAGTATGTATCTGTCACGCGCACACTTTGGTTACTGATAAAATGCAATAGATCTCCAACAATCAGTTGGCGTTCAAGTTGTGGTTTTGGGGATATTTTGAGGACAAGTCATTCTGTTTTTGACAGGGGCTTGCCCTAGGACTGTAATTCTAGTGACTTTTTCCTACTTTTTCTGCTCTCGTGTGCTTCGCTGATTGCTTTATTAACAGCCGGATAAACTGTAACTCGGTCCAAAAGAACAAACGATGGTAGCACGTGGCCACCTGGTTTGGCACAGTTGCCTCTACTAACTCTGAATGAAGGACACAAAGCAGTTAAACCTAGAACACCAGAGCGCATTTTATTTGATTTCAGGAATCTACCAATAAAACCTGAGCCATTGATTCTTCAGAACTTTCTGCAGTTTCGTGGTTGTTGTCCTTATTTAAACAACACCTCCCCTGTATCCCCCCATCTAGCCATTAATGAAGACCCAGAGGATGAAGAGGAAGATGAAGACCAGGACTACAGCTTTCCTATATCTTCCATTCTAGAGTGGTAAAACCTCCATCACTATTGGAACAGCCATTGGGCACGAAATCAATGTCCATACTGTAAATAAGTGTATGCTTATTTATTTTGGGGAGAAAAAAAAGTATACATATAGTTGAGTCTGGTAGACATTTATTTATACTGTGTCATGTTTTATAATTTATACATAAAATGTCTGGTTGACTGTACACCTTGTTTTTTGAAGAAATTTATTCGTTACGGGAAGAGCAGTGTTATTTATTGTGAGGTCTCTTGCTTGTAAAGTAAAGCTTTTCTTTTTTCGTGAAAACTATGAAAGTCCATTCCTTAGAGCTTACCCACATGATCTCATCTCTTGGTTTCACTGATGTTAACTCTTTTCCACTTTAACAAACTTGCATGTTGGTTTCTGTTATGTTTATTTATTGGATTTTCTTCTTGCCGGTTCTGTACATGAAAGATCCCTCGGGTTTTTGTTTACAAGGAATCTTGACTGACCAAAAGGCGTTGTAACTGACTTAAGCATACTTCCAGGGTGCAGTGAGGCGATCTTTAAGGAAACTTCTTCCACTTCACTTTTCTCTACTTCTGATCACATCATGTACTGAAGTGATCTCAATGTGCTGAGCGTATATACTGTACTATACAAATTTCGGACCCAAAGAAATCGGATTATGAAGGTTGTTAGTAGCTACAGGGCTACCTGTAATAAGAATAAAGGTTTTATTTTATTTTTAGTGTTTTTGTAACATGCATAGGTGTTTTATCAGTTGTTTCCTTTAAGATGGTCTTGCAGTACCACTTTCAAAATTTTCTTTTCCCAATCAGTGTGTCACTAAAAGTTATATCAAAGCTTTATCAGTTCAAGTTTCTTGCTATTCATAATACTTTTTTTCTGATGCAATTTTATATTTTCAAACATGGCGAGTTAAATATAAATTCATTTAAATATATAGTTTTGTACTTTTCTACCATGTAAATGTGCAATGTATATAAAAGTTATAATGTGTATTTGTAAATAAATGATGAGTGAAAAAATAAAAAGAGGAATTTTCCCTAGAAGCAGTTCTCAGTTTTTGATTCTAAAGGGTTCTGGCCCTCTGGTGCAGAGAAGGCATACTGGTGGTTACAGCAAAAGAGGCTTGCGTTTGGCATAGGAGCGAAACAGACTGGTTAAGGCCCAAGCTTTCAGCTGACATTGATTCAATAAACCCTATTTTCAGACAGGAGCAATGTCTCCATTTCATTGGTATTAATTAGTTAATTTTAAAACCAAGTACAGTGATGGATTCTGTCATTTCTCGGACATCTTTAACTTTCATATTTCTAGGAGGCTTTGAATATACATTTGAGTTTTTGCTAAGCTTCAGACCCACATTACTGGGGTTGCAGTTGTATCACCATTTTAGATGACCAATAGAAAAAGCAAAATATGGCCTACTTGCCCAAGTTCAAGACGTCTAACAATCAGCACTAAAGACAAAAAAACCCAACAAAACAAACCATCAAAGAGCACATTATCACTTGGGAATCATTTTCCCCCAAAAGGAAGGTTAATTCAGAAGTTCTTGCTGAACCAATATTCAGACTGGACACACTTTTAAGAGTGGAGAGTAATACAGTGAACTGAGGAAGGGACCAAAATCATGTTTTATGCTACCTGGGTTATGTTGTTTGCCCAAATAAGGCCCCACTTATCAAAATTTCTCTATCATACTGAATAAAACTTAAAATAGTACTTAAGCACTTATTCAGTGGTGTTTTAAGTACTTTGCTGAACTGAGGTCTGAGAGCCAGCATTGACTTACCCATTTTCTTTAAATATAAATCATATTTGAAGGCTGTTCCTGCTATACTCTTCTGTATATCTTTTACTATAGACCGAAATCTAATTTGCTATGGATTGTTTAGCATTATCCAAAGCAAATATAATTTATTCATCTATGAATACATAAAAACTACAAGCCTGCATTTATAATATTGTGTTCAAAATAATAGCAGAAAAATTCTGTCCTTCATCCTCCTGTTGCTTCATTTAGACAAGTAGTCTCTTTGGAAGGAGGTACATAATGAAAGGAGCAAAGGGAGCAGGATTTTGGTCTCCTGAAGGAACAGAACCCAGAATAAAATAGAACAAGGGCCAGGAGAACAGAGAGATGGAAAAAGAACCTATCAGAAAATCTCTCAAGGAACCCATAAACACATGACAATGCCATAGAGCCAAAACATTTAATAGATATGGAGAGATTTGTCTTAAATTCAGATAGGTGCCAGCTACTTCATTTCCAACCAAAAAAAAAACAACATTAAAAGGCTGGTTTTAATTGTAAATATATTTACATGTCTTACAGATAGACTGTAGCAGAGCAGGATTTCTGGGTTCTAATTTTATGTCCTGCTACTGGTTCACAAAATAACTTTGTCACTGACAGACAAAATCAAAAAACGAACAAAAATGCCAGGAAACTATTTTTCCACGTGCACACGTATGCGAACTGGCCACAAAAATCTACATCAGTTATGGGCTGATAAAGTTATCTAGAAGCTCTGCTACTGCATTTCCCATTGCTGCTGCTATTTCTATACAGCTGAAAATCCTGAAACCTACCTTGCACCAAAGCCTGCCTGTGATGTACAGCTGAGACATCTCCTGAGAGGCTTCATGAGGTAAGCATCTTGTGAGCATGCCTAACATACACCAAACTCATCATGAAGCACAACGCCCCAAGAGACTTTCTCCCAGAAACATGTCCAGAGGTTGTGGCAGCACAACTGCCAACATTTTACATAATATCATACTTGTAGATAAGGCAGTTGTTCACAAAGTGGGAGATGCAGCTTCACTGCCAGTCTCTTCCTGAGGAGATCTTTCCCACATCTCCCAAGAGTGCATCTACCACCAACTCAAGGTGAAGCTCAGGCTGGAGAACTGTCTGTCATGCCTGCTGAAGCCATACTTCTGTATTGGAGAGGAAGCAAGATTCATTGAGAGAGAATAATTTGCAACCCTAATAGGTGCTCCTTCTGAAGAGGAAGTCCTGGGTTCTTGCCCCAGGGGCTGCCTACACATTTTGCATTTGTAATTGAGTAACATATATAAATAGTGCTCGAAGCAGGGGCCAGAATCCAGGTTGCCTCCCCTCCTCCTTCCCTCAGTAGGCAAGTGCCTCCATCCTTGAGCTATGAAATCATGTTTAACTCTCTGCTTAAATCAAGATTACGAATCTCACATCTTTCTCTACACTGAGTCATAGTTACAACAGGAGAGGCTTTACTTTTTTCATCCTCTCTTCTAGGATTGTACAAGGCGAACTTCCTGGGAAGTGGAAATGTGAACTTAATTCCCGCAGTCTAAGGAAGGTGCTGAATACATTTTTTCTACCTCTTCTCCTTTTTTGTGTGTTTTCAGTTTGGTTTGATTTTGCTTCCTCTCTTAATGCACAGGTTATCCTGGATGTCGTTTAAATGAAGAAACAGAGATATCTGGATGTCTTAAGTACAAGAAGGTGGTTTCCAGCTCTGAAACGATCTTGCACAAGCTCCTAAAACCAAAATACATAAATTTTCAGAAATATCTTTCTCTTCAGTGTTTTCTGTCGTCTGGCATACATATTCCCCTTGCTGTAAATCACATTTCTGAAACTCCTAGTTCACCATGCAGTATACTTTGGTACTGAATCCCAGTCCTGTGAACGCCATTCACAACTGCAGGTACAGTAACACAGAGCAGAGCGTGTATGTTTGAAAACAGAAACCCATATTCTGGCACTTAAATAAAATCAGCTTAATTCCAAAAGACTGCACTTGAGGCATTTGAATGATAAGAATATTGCCTTTAAAGCCCTGGTTCCCAAATGTATTGGTCTGCGCAATACATGCAAGCGAGTATACACAATTTTGATCACAGTCAAATGCATTCCTGATAGTTGTGTTCATATGACAGACTTAGGAACGGTATCATGGACCTCTTTTGCACCTTTTACCTCTTTGCTTGCTTTCTGCCTGCTAATACACCTCAACTAAAACTACATTCCAAGACTCTCAGCAAATTTCAAACAGCTGCCATTTCTTTATTTTTTATGACATAAAAATGTTTCCTTCTTTCCCACCAAATGGGAATCAGTTGAAATTAAATTTCGGTATGCAGTGCTGTTCTCTAGACGGTGACATTTTACTATACAATGAATCACCAGCATGGAAACATCTGTATCTTATCCCTTTGAAGAACTAGGATTCCATGCTTTCTTGTGAAGCATAACATTTGTACATAGACCAAGGAGTTCACAACGTATCAGATTTTAAATTCATAACTCCCTGAAGATAAGGCAATTACTTTTTTTTTTTTTATTTCTGTAATTCCAAGGCCTGCCTGAACCTCTATGGCAGCATGAATTTTGCAGGTAGTATGTCAAAAATAGTACACACAAGTTAACTCTTCAAATTTTTTTTTTTTTCTGGTAGACATTAATACATAATGGATCCTAGTGGCTGGATTTTGCCAACACTCGTATGGGGTCATCTGTGTAATTCACATTCATTCATTACTTCTGAACAACATGGCAAATAAAATTATCACGCAGTGGAGAAATATGATATGAAAACAAGGTGTGAGCCATAATGTTCAGCTCAGAGACCTATTTGGAATTAAAAACACACGTATGGCTCGTTTTCCTGTAATTTACAGGTAAAGTCTTTTGATCTCTTAATCTTTAAATGGATTTGTTCAACTTCACCATGAAGAATGCTAATACGTCAGAAAACTGAGAAGGAACTCTGGACTTTGATAACAGCTAATCAGACCTACCAGATACTACAGGATAATGACTGTACCAAGGTGTACAGTGTAGATTTGAACATGTAAAGGCCTCTGCATTTCCACCAGCACCACTCAGTAGTAGCAGCTGAACCTCCCAGTGCTTCAGTGATGTCTACAGGTATTCAGAACTCCTCAAAATGAAACCACAGCACTCATGTTCAAGAACTAAATTTTAGTCACCTGGTTTTAAAGACTTTTGACATTTGAAAATGAATGTTGGAACTATTTTTCAGAGCATGTTAGAGGCGCACAGCAAAAGGATCATGTTTTAAAAAATCATTCCTACCTTGTGTAGCATGGTCGTATGCAAAGATACGGTTTTACTTAAGAACAGTTTTAATATCTTTCCCAAGACTCCTTAGCAATTTGGAAAGCTCTTATTCAGATAACAGTGTTCCTATCAATCTTCTGCTGAGCTTCCTGAAGAAGCTCTTAATATTAAATTTCAATCACTTCATATTTTAAGAAGCACTTGGAACTGCAAGGATGATGATGGTGGGTGGCCGTTGTTGGAAACACTTAGAAGATACTAAAACCTGTTACCATTTGATTTTTGAGTTAGAACCATTGCCAAAATAGGTCACAGGGCAAGACATGTAGATAAGCCAGACAGGTAGCTACACAAGTGCTTGGACAATGTAGATAAAGGTGGCACTGATAACAAGCGAGTCCAGCAGAGGCTCAGGGGCTGGAGCACCTAGGCTGCAAGGGGAGCTTGAGGGACGGAGATGCTTCTGCCTCCAGAAGGGAGGAAGGCTTTGGGGGCATCTCAGAGCAGCCTTTCCCAGCTACGAGCAGGTTGGACAGGTACTTGGACAGGTAGGTGTGTAGACAGAGCCAGGATCTATGTAGCAGCGCATGATAGCAGGACAAGAGACAAGACGCATAAGTTGTAACAAGAGAAGTTCACACTGGATATAAAGGAAACCTTTTTCCCCATGAGGACAATCCAGCATATGATCTCCTGACACCCTTTCCAAGCTGAATTATCCTATGATCCTATGAAGAGGTATGTCCACCCACTTTTAAGTGTTACAGACTCCAAAATCAGAAAGGAATGTCCAGTTAAAAAGAAACAATTCCCTCAAGAAACATTCAAGGAACAACCGTATCACCACAGCTGTTGGATACAA